CTTTAACTCAAAGGGTTTTAACCCTGAAAGAGATGCTTACGTAGTTTGTTTTCTACGCGTACTTTGCAGCGGCACAAAAAATAACAGCAACAAACGACATCTTCTGTATTTCTCTAGAATGGCTCAACAACGCGCTTTTCGTCAAAGAAATCGCTGTAGAGCTTGTACTTGGCCTCTTTAGCAATGCTTTTAGCTAACCAAGAAATGGATGTTTATCTGTCCTTTCATTTGGAACCTTGGAACCGCTGCACCATCGTCTATATCGCTTTTAGACGGCTTCCATTTCCTATCAGTCAAGTGTGTTCTCAAGTGTGGTGTAGACCATACTTGGCGGTTTCTTTGAACTACGAATGTTTCCGTGAGCACCATGTAAAGCTGAAGTAGATACATTTCAGCCCTTCACACTCAAGGTAGGTTCCAAGTTCACTTACATTGTTCTTAAAAGCTCTAGTGTAAAGCCAAGTAATATCTTGGGGACTGCACACAAGAGAAAAAAGAGAAAAAAAAATGTCGTCGCTTGTTTACGTCTTCTATAAAACTTGAAATTAGGCATTTTCACGTCGTAGTCACGCTTGCAGTGACGACAAAGAAAAGTACAAAACAGCGTGATGCACACACGAAGTGGTTTTTTACTTTTGATTATCTAAAGCCTGCTATTGCTTTTTTGACCCCTTCTCAATGCCTTCGCCGTCGTTGTTGCTAAAGCTCCTTTGTGCCTCACAAGGGAGGGGCACAGTCCACGCTCGGTTAGTTTTACAGCGGTTCGCTTTAGGTTACTATCTTTTTGTTTTAGTCAAGCATGGCACTGCCACTACTGATTCATAATAAAGTATCTCTCGTTTAGATTATCCGTCTTCGTTGGCACAAATCCTCTAAGATGAGACTCTATCTTTTATTTCAGTTTCTTGGTTTGGTACCGCGATTTTTCCCTGAAACAACAAAAATAAGTTAAAGGTAGTAAATTGGGTAGAATGGGATCCTTGAATAAACGCGATTGGCTTCTAATAAGCTACTTTCAATAAATTCATGTTATAATTAAGTTGTGGATGATTGTCTTTTAAAGGAATAAGTTCAAAAACAAATTGAAACAAATTTTATGGAAAAAGGGCTCGTCTTCCCTTATTCTTACCGTTGGTGTCTTACGGCGAAACTGATGAACTGCTTTTTGCAGGCTTTGCAATGTTTTAGTGACCTATATCAGCTTCCTTTGTATCTCATCTTCCTCCTCGGGGGTGTCCTGTTCTAAGGGAGTGGTGTCCTTATCGGATTCCTTCCTTAGTGTGTTTTGTTTACCAGAAAAATAGCGATGAATCAAATTTTTGATAACGACCCGTCCCTAAACAGAAAAACAAAAACAAAAAAGACGTGGTTAATGAAACTGTAATTGACTTAGAATTCAAATTTCGTCTGAATGTCATGATGACTGAGTTTCAAGGTTCCAATTGCAGGACCTTCCACATGTATGCCATAAACTCTATGCGTCGTACATATAGCACAGCACGGAGCAGTCATGTCCGATAATAGGGAACTTAAGATGGACACGTTTTCGGGGCGACGGCGACCGGACTCGCAGAGAAAGCCTGGAACTAAGGCAGCCGTCGCTTCCCGTCAAAAATAGAACATTAAGATCGCAGTGAACTCAGAAGGACGGCGCCTTTAATTAGAAGAATACCGAAGAGGAAAATATAACTTCACATAAAGAATTAAGAGAATAAATATTTGCTATGCAGACAACATGTATCAGATGAAGAGTTTCTTGTTTTGTGGGAAAATTATGAGTCCAAAAATCCCGATTTTCCTCGGGACAGTTACGATCCGTTCACGCTAAAAGACATGCGGGATGCAGCTGAGTTCAAGGCAGAATTTCGTGTTGAAAAAAAATGATCTCCACAGGCTTGCCGAAGCCTTGCAAATTACAGGAACATTAAAATGATACCAAGGAACCGTATTCTTAGTTTGGTATTGAAATAATTCCCGGGAAATACTTGCATGCAACAACAAAAACAACGGCAACAACTTTATTTCAGTATTCCCACGCCGAGTTAGTACATGGTATTACCTACTATTCTATATAATTTTCAATGCGTTTCATTTATACGATATTGTAACGAAAAGAGCGAACTAAAAACACACAATTGAAATATCGGAGTTCATATTTTTTGTCTGGATACTTTTACTTGGCTCGTGGGAAAATTTTGTCCCATGTCAAGCTCACTTACGGTTGGCTGTCTGCCAAGTTGGATCTTGACCCTGTGACATGAAAACATAGAAACATTCAAAGATGTATAAAAGTTTAGATAACAGAGCTTGGAAATCGAGCTTGAAATGTGCCTCAAAGAAAACAAGGACAATTTAAGAACGATAATCTGCAAAATGTTGGTTGCTAAACGCAACAAACCTGATTGAAATGAAAGTTAAATACTCACGTTTTCGCCACAACGCCAAACAGACCAGTTTCACGTCGCCGACGGGACCACGACGGCAAGGTGGTGAGCACGAGCATGCGCAATATCCAACAAATGATGATGTCACGTCCGGTTGAAGTTGCCGTCGCCCCGAAAACGTCTCTATCTTAAGTTCCCTAATGTCGCACTGTTACGGACCCTTAAGAGCAGTTGACGGATCGTACGCTGCGTACAAACTGTCAGCGTTGCTAACGGTCCGTATTCTGAGCACATACGGAGCGTGCATCTCATTATGACCTCAGAGCACAGTGTGTTACGGTTCGTACGGTCAGTTTTAAGCTCGCCACTTACTAACGCTTCCCCTTCCATGCCTGCCTCCAATTCTTCCCTTCTCATTCTTTATTAATAATTGTTTACTGAAGAATAATGGTTATTAATGCCCTTATGTGAGAAAAACTTCTGAAATTTGACATTGCTCCTCCTCGACTGAGAACACTGCACTGTCTGGCTAAATTATTAAATGACCACCTACCGATTTATGAAACCACTCATTTTTTCAAATGAATCGGCCGATCAAAATTTGCAGTGTCAATGTATTGAGCATAAAAGTACTATTTGACGACTCTATTTTTACGTTTCCATACTGGAGACAGGACTGCCATTTTACGTGATCATCCGGCCGTGCCACGCAAAGGACCAGCCGTTTGCAAAGCAAAGGCAGAACATTTATTTCGCAGTGTCTTGTGGACCCGCGACACACTCGCTCTGCAGTCAAGGGCTCCACCGACTGAGCTAGTCCAGCTGCGTTGTTTTAGAATTAGCACTTCTAAAAGGGAATTTTCGACAAGAACCCCAAAAATTTTATATGAGAGCCTGCTTTCTTCCCTCTTGGTCGGAGCAAAGGTACATTTTCTCGGAGTCCGGCCCGTTTATTGAGATTGATTTACTTTGGTTATCACTATTCTTTCTTATACGATGAGAATAAAGGTTCGTTCTAATTTTCCAAAAATTGATATACTTACCCTTTCCTGATTAGTGTTAACTGTATCTGACGTAATTTCTTCAGTTTTGATACAAACAAGACACTAAAACAGGAATACAATAGATTTAAGGAAAATACGATGAAAACAGTGCCTGGAGTAGCCAAACAACGACGACAAAAACAACAACAGCAAACGAAAGAAAACGAGCGCTTTTATTTCAGGCCAAGCATGCAACTTATCGATAGTTTTCAGGCGTAAAGCTCTAGAAACTATATAGTTGCACGAGAATAGACACCAAAGAAACATGCACATTTACGTCTCCTAACACATTGTTTCTCGATAATTTAAATCATAGATCGATTATCGTAAGAAGTACAGGGCGTTACAAAGTTTGTTCGTCTACTTTAAAAGTCTGTAATGCAGTACGATTGGACTTTATCAGCATATAATTTAAACAAAAGTTGTGACTTTCAATCTAATTTAATATTTCATACTTCTTGTGTCATCTTTTGACTCAAATTCGATTTGTGTAATTTCGGGCTAAAAGGTGCGCTGCACGAGTAAATTTTCCCGCCATATATTTTTCCTATTTTGTAGCCCGAAATGCTCGAACTCCTTACCTGTTTTTTTGTGAATATCCTAAAAGATTAACCTCTCAACGAAAAAACTCTCAGCTACGTACGAGCAGAAGCATGTATTTCTATCTACTGGCTTATCAGTTAACGAAATTCCTAAAAAAATGGAGAAATCCGAAAGTTAGGAGGTAAGATGGTCATAGAGAAATGAAGGTTTTACAGACAAGAAACGATGGGGGAAGACCGAAAGTCCTGAATAAAACCACTAAAATAGTTTTAAAGAAGGCTAAGTACAAAAGAGGAAACCCGACGAGGTAGCTCTTACAACAGTTAGCAAGTTAAGTCTGGAGCAGGTTCATGAAAAGCAAAGTTTGGAGACCCCTGAGATAGCAAAAAAAATTTTTACTCCCGGCCAAGGCCGTCCGCCAAGCAACGTTCAACTCGTCTCAAATTTGTAAAGAAGAGCAAAAGCCTTACTGTGGAAAGGGGCCGGAATGATCATCTTTTCTTGGATCAATGCCCAAAATATATTGTTTCAGCTGCCTAATCTAAAAAATTATATTGTTTGGGGTCGAAGTGACTCCCGCATACTAGAAGCTCAAAACGAAAAGCTCAAAACGAGTCATCTAGGGCTCTACACGCTACATGGCTTATCTCACTTAATGCCGCAACGGTTATAGGGTGTGTTAAAAAAAAAAACAACAAAACAAAACAAAGGGGGAATGCCAGTAACTGAACTTCTCAACACAAGCACTCGATAGAGTAATAATTATATTTGAGAAATTTCATGTAAAAATAAAAGTTTTGATCAAAAGTTATTGCGCATGAAATTAGGGGAACGAACTTTTGGAACACCCCGTATTTAGTAGATTTAAAATCTTGTGATCTTGGTTCGAGTCCATATTTGCTTTTAGTTTTCACCAAAAAATTAATTCTTTTTTAATTTTTAAGCATTGAAATCATTATTTCATGTAGATGCAGTGAGGCTTTGCTACTTACTTACTTACTTACTTACTTTTTTAACCCAATTGTATCTTCTAGCAAGCCAACGGACTGCGGAGGCAATTTTCTACTGGTATCAGGTTAAATGGCGGTGGGAGAGGACTGACTTTACTGATGTAATACATCCAGATACGCGTCCTCGCAAACTTGAATTTAGTGCCCTTCTCTTTCTAAAAGAAGGCAAATATAGAGGTATGAAATACTTTTACCATCAAGGTAATTTTAAGGCAAAGTTCTTCAGATCTAGATGTCGTATCGATCTCCAGCGAGTGTTGTATAAGAAAACTGCACTGTGTAATATAAACATGCTGGGATTTGGAAGCGACTGAATTAAATCTCTTCAGACGTAATATACCTGATATCATTTATCACACAGTATTAAGCTCAGTTTATTTCAGAATACTTCAGAACGCAAATCACTTTCAAAATGAGAAGGCGTTCAGTTTTGGCGTGGGCTGAAGTCCGGCCAAAGTTTTAACCCTCTGACATATACAAGCCCACTGAGAATTTTGAATTCTTAATCTCATTCCCAACCCCTTGTAAATTTTGTGTAAATACTCTCGTCATAATCTCTAACGGTCACTTTAGATCCCTTTTTAAAATGTATGTTGACTAGCATACGATACGTCACGCCACTCCGATGGCCATAAAACAAAAGTCCTTATGATAGGTTTTCTTATCCTTTCGTAAGCTAATCACTTTTCTTTATTATTGTTATTTTCACGGTTGCAATATTTACCTATGCTATGTATGTACGTGTCAGTGTGATATTACATGCAAACTTCTCCTTTTATGGGTGGAAAGCAATAGCCCCATACACACTCTATTCCATGGGTAATTCGTCTCTAGTTATTTTTAAGACCATAGATCTCAAGGGGGGATTAGACAACAGCCAATCACGTTGTTCTAGCCAATCACATAGCGCGAATGTGTTCCGCGTGGATGACCCGCGCTCAGAGCCACGCGTCCTTCGCGAATTGACGCAGAAAAAAATGGCGGAAGACGCGGAGAGCGATATTGCTATTTGTTTTGTCGAAGAAAACGACTAAAGAGAGATTTCTTCTAAAGCTGTGTCAGCGAAACGGAAATTAAAAAAGAATCGCTCTTCCTCTCTTGTATAGAGCTAACAGTACAGCAGGGAAATCCTTAACACACTGAATATTGTCTCAGGATCATTTATAATTTACAGTTTGAAGAGAGCAATTTCTGGTTTGATATTTATTCTTTTATTAGTCTTTTATTATTTAACGAAAATAACATTTGGCGTCCTACTTGCTTTATTATACAAACGACCGGTTTCAATAGACCGGCGAAATTTCTCATTTTATTAAAGCACTGAAGTTACGACAACTTCGAGTTAAACTGATTTCACGGGTTGTCAAAGAGTACAGCGATTCCCTTTTCCCAGATGAGCGCCGACTCATTTCGCTTCAATATTCAGAAATGCTCTCGATCTCTTTAGGCTTTCATTGCCTTTCGCCCGACATGTTTTGCACGGTGTTTAGTCGTGCGAAACCTCCGCGAAACATCCACGCAGCGCGCGAGGTAACTTTATCCCGATACTAAAAATAACTCTAGACGAATTACCTATGGAATAGGGTGTGTATGGGGGATGCCTTCTCTGTCCCCTTTATCCTCTTTTGGTAGAAAGGGATGTTGGCGCAGTATCAATTATACTGTTCTCGTGTGACCCAGCCGTTGTCACGTTAGTTTGTATGCGTTTTACAATTGTATTATAAACCGATTTGTGTAGACACAACATTGCACTTACATCAACCTTCTTGTATGAGTTATTGAGCATAGCGATCAGTAGGTTTAGTACAACCAGTATGGAAGCGAGGCTGTATACTGCGAACAAAATCTGTCCTGTAACCATGGTAATCTCTGAGTTCTCGTTCGTTTTAAAAGCAGAAAATTCGACATGTCTGAACAATGCCCAAAACAATGTGTCCACGGTTCCCTCGATTCTGTTAAAAGAACACGTACAAGCTGTCTGTTAGTTCACATGACAGTGGAACCGCGATTTAACGATCCTCGATATAACGATGTTCCAGGTTAATAACGTTTGTTCCCGCAAGAGTTACAGTAAAATGCATGAAACAGAACCCCGATACAACGATATTCCCGATTTAATTAGAATTCAGCGGAACGAACGCAAAACCTTCCCGATATAACGATATTATCAGTACACAGGCACAATTTAAGCAAAACTAAAATACAGTAACATTACATCAATCGAGTAATCTCTAAAGTTTTTGTCAACAGCTTTGTACAATGATATACGAAAATGATACTGTGTTCTAAGCCTCTTTATCTTCTTTACCCTCCTTGCCATTCATATAGTTCTCTTAGTTTCGGTATCTTTGACTCTTTCCTGTGATGAAACGTAAACATTGCAGGGATTTCAAGGCCGATGCGTTTGTTCTCGGCGATACCATTCAAGCAAAATCAATAATCAATAACATCAATAATAGTCAATAAAATCAATAACAGTTAATTGATTAATATTGAAAATCAATAAAAATGAAAGCATCTTTTTCTATTTATCTTATGATAAGTGGCCATCAGTGTAAAGTTTAAGGAGAAACGTTATTCGGCAGAAGTAATCGAGACAAACAGTGTTAATTAACATACCAAAAAAGGAAAGGCAGGAGCGTGGGAAAGGTTATATTGCCATTATTTTGGAATTAGATGTACATTGTCTCTGTTTCCTACCTTTCAAAAGGGTGGGATGTGATAGTGTCGTTCCTGCTCTTGGCAACTTGTGCCGAAGTCTGCACGTACTGAGAGTACAGTTTCCTCATGGCAAGAACAAACGCGCAAAAATTCAGGGCAAAGAGCGCGAAAAATCTGACAATATCCTTGGTCATCATCATAAGGGACAGGTGCAGCAGTCCCAAAGTTGAGTCAACTTGGAGAAGATGCGAGGCTTCAAAGAATGTTAGAAGCACTGCAAATGCGTAGAAACTGCTTGATAGCAGCAAGAGATGATACGGGCCCATTGAAGAGGCATCCTCTAGCTTGCTAAGAGAGACAGTCCAATCACCAGAATTTCTTGCTAAAGAGGTGTAGCCCACGATCCATAATCCAGCGGCAAGAACGTAGCTAAGAATCATGGGTATGACCGCAAGGTGCAACCACTCACCGAGATATCGTTACATGCCTTGAAACATGGCTTGCTTTATTTCTTGGACGATTATACCAACCACCCAGATACCAATAATAACAGCTATAAAAATAGATAAATAATAAATCAAGTAAATGAATAAATATTCCTGCTTGATTTATTAAGCATAATTTAAACGAACGTAACTCTATCACGAACTGTTCCAAGCTAATCTGGACTCATCCACGCTCGTGGGTTCAAATAAAATCAATAGTGATTGCCAAACTGAGATGGCCTAAATTAGACCCTAATGATGTTCTGTAGTTTTTTTAAACAGAAACGACCCCATTTCAGAGCTAACGCAAAGGAATTTAGAGAACGTATTTGTTTTGGAATATGGAACATTTAGTGATAATTCGAGGTTAGTTCTATTATGTCTCGTTTAGTTCTCGTAATTCATTCCGCAAATGAGGGGTTAAGCAAGTACTAAAACTTGTTTACCTTTTCAATTATTGCATTTTGTAGAGGAGGTGGATTGCAAACCCTTTGAAAACACTAAGCTATTATTCATCAAGCCTGCGTAGCATGCCAGTTTTGTCAGGAGCACTACTGAGCGGCGAAGCCGCAAAAACGCGCGTGAACGAGCGGCGAAGCTCCTATCTTCAAACCAAGTTTGGTTTCCGCCTTTATAGATCGGCATTCTTCACTGAGATGACGCCATGTGATTAACTGTCAACAGGAGAGAAGAGTATAAGAATTTGAGGATATTTGGCTCTATGAAGTTGTACGAAGTCGTCAGTGTTCCGGCGCACGCAACCTCGTCCCCAGGGTCTTCTCGCTTTCCAATATGGCGACGGCAGGACAGAAGACCCTGGCACACAGCGAACTAAAACGATCGCTGATTGGTGCATTCCATGGTGTGTTCATACGTGCGCTCTCATTGGTTTATTCCTTCCAAAACAAAGATGGTTTAAAACATTTGAGGGCTTCGTAGAGGCTGAGAAGTGCGTTCTTCAGTGTTTGAGACCTAAAAGGTGGACAGAATTCAGATCTGATTGTTCGGAAAACCTTGACTGTACCGTTGGAAGGCAAAGATTCGATGATAGTGATATCTGAAATGGTAATCGCTGGGAATATTATGAGGCGTAGAGGTATTTCTGTTGCTCGTTCTATTTGGTTTGTGTGTTCTAAATTACTAAAGATTTGTTTCTTTAATTCCCGATTTGTCAAAGAATACTTGCAAGGCTTCAGCTTATCAATAAATTAAGCTGTCCGTTTGCAAACTGCCTTTTGTTTTCTTTGAACAGTAGCTGTATGCATAATATTATTAATGTATGGGGTTATACGGAAATCGTGCATAATCTGTGGTTTGTCTCAGCAGTTTTTTGTCCAGTGAAGCCCTTTTTTTTTCATTTGATCGTAACATGCATGGGCCTAACCTGGCCTTCTTTTAATTTTTTTCAATGTGATTCTGAAGGGGCATGAGGAGCGAGAGAGGCAGATGTCGAAACAAAACTAGAAATTGAAGCCAAACATATTGTCGCTATCCTTCGATATTTTTAATCCTGACTTTTCATTTATTCAGTTTTTAGTGTCACAATAATGATAATTTATTATTATTTGCTCATTTCATAGGCAGTAAAATACAGCTAAATACAGAGACATTGGGAAAATAAACTGTTTCCTTTTCTCAGAAATGAAAAACTTGCATATTTCTAGTTAGTCTTTTTAGTTGCAAAAATAAAATAATGAAAGCACATGATGTCTTTTATTTTATCAAGTTGAAAATAATGATCAGCTCATGCAAGGAAATCGGACAGTCTTGGATTCTCAATTCTGCTCCATGGATACTGCATTCTGGATTCTTTGTCAGTGGAACTTGGATTCTGGATTCCAATTATAAGTGGGATCCAGAGTACTTGACCTTTATTTTAGTTTCCAAGAGAAAAATTCCCCAGATTCCAGATTCCCTTAGATGGGGTGACAGGGATCCTAAGATAAATACGTTTTCTGTCAAACCAAAATCTGTTAATTGAGCTTCTAATTACTGTAGGCTAAGTGTGCATGTCGTTCTTGTCACTGCATGTTGTTCTTGTCACCATATGCTTGAAAAGGGGGTTTGTGGACCAGGTGAAATAGTGGCTGGCATTGTAGTATTCCAAAACCAGCTGGGTATGATTATGAAACAGCTATAATTCAGTTCTAAAATTTGGATTTAAAAAAATAAACTGCTTCAAAGGGTGCATATATCACTATCCACTGAATAAACAAGAGCGGAAGGGACCTGCAGCATCTTGATCGCGGGATTTTTCATGTAGGGATGCCAAGGCTTTTGAAGTGTTTTGCACCAGAGTCCCCATTACCATAGTGAGCTTTTAGTTGCCTAGTCATGGCCAATGATTTTCGGGTCACATGGCCCCAAGCAATATAGTGAAACAGTTTCCCTCCAGTTTGCCTAAGATAAGTCACAGAAATGAATTGACCAAGAAGACCTGGGAAAATGCCACACAGGGACAAGGCAAGGCTTTTAGCTTGTATAGGTGTTGGGCTGTGAGGATGCAGCTGTAAGATGTGCTGGCTCAAATACTTCCAAAGTCTACTTTAAGGTGTTGGTTAGTGTTAGTCATAGTGTCTGTATCATAATCATATCATCAGAAATAATCAGATTAACCCAACTATTAAACTGATAATCAATTATAGTAGATAATAGTTTTGTGACCCCTGTGTACCACTTTCAACACTGAAAATACTTTTGTAAGTGAATAAAACAAAAACCTACCCCTCAAGCAGAAGCTTATCTGTCACATAGTTAAACCAACTAAACATCATATAAACTACATTAAGAGTCCATCAAAAAGACAACACAGGTGTATTAATGTCCTTATTTGTTAACAATGTTTTTGTGTATTTTCCACAACAATCAATTGAATGTTTGTATATTAAGCAGTACTCACTTTGCTTTAGGTTTCAGATCAATGATAGATTATGATAGATAATCAGCACACCACTACCAAGTTATGTCTCAATTAGACTACGAAAGGGCCCATCTGACATGCAAAGCGTGTTTGACTTAAAAGATTATTATCTCCAAATGAGATAGGAACTTTTACAGTGAACATGAGTCAGATAGGACTATCAAATTTTTGAACAACTGGAGTCTAGCCTTTAGTCAATTTGTAAATTGTCATGGCAAAGTGCAGCCCCAAGTAATATGTAAAATAAACCAAAGTCAGGGATTAAGAAAGTTTTTGCTCTAAAAATAAAAATCTATTTCAAAGTGAAGAATACATTTTGGATTGCTTAATTACAACCAATGGAAACACTCTTCACTTTGTGGTAGCTATTAAAGCGGGGTTAATGCTTTTTTTTACATCTGAGAGGCAAAAAAAACAACAATAACAACATATTAAATCCTCTATTAAGGCCCCACTCTCTCAAATAAGCCCTCCTTTTCAGTGGAAGAAAGTTTTAACAATAAGCCCCCCTCTTTTTAACCCCATCCCCCACCTTCCCTCCTTTTCTTATTCTTCACTAATAAATAAAAGACTGTATCAATCAATGACAACTGTAAAACTTTGTGTGGACCGATCCAGGATGGTTTATTCAGCAACTGGAAGTTCGGATTTGTTTTTGATCATCGGCTGCTTGACCTCCAACCTTCTTGTACTTGGGCTTTTTCAGTTGGCATTTTTTTTGTGTGGGGAACTAATATCAGCGTCTTTGCTAGATAAAATAAGGCCCCCAACTCTATTGCGCGGAAGCATTGTGAACAGGGTTAGATATCAAAGCCAATAAGAAAGTCTAAAAACTGTGAGGTAGATGAAGATTGACAATAATTTTATTACCTGCACCAGATCAAGTGACAAAATATCCAAACTGAAAAGGAACTGTTTAATTTTCAACCAAAGTTTCCTTGAATTGTCTTAACAAAATACTGTTCTCTGGTTCTTGTTTTGAGAAAAAAAATTGTTTTTTTACATATCAGAGTTCAGTTAAAATGAGTGCAGACAGAAAAACAATAGTCAAAAACCTCACGAAGATCTGTAACAAAACTGACGATAACTTATCAGCTTAAAGTGTCCGCGACTTAAGTTAATGCTTAGTTGAATTTCGGAACGGAAGAGGTTTTAGAGCGTCATGACAAAAAATTCCCTGGCTTCTGAGGTCTGTTCTCGAAATTCCTAAGATGAAATAAATTGCGCTCACGGTTTGAAAAAGCTCCCCCTTTCACGAAAAAAGAAAACTGAACCTCTGGCACTCAGGGTGGGCAAAAAAAGTAAACAGTGAAAAAAGGTCGGTATCGAGTGCCGTGTACGCTACAGAACGTTCAGGCTTAAAGCAAATGAAGGTCATTGAACAGAAAATAAGATCGCTATATCATTCTACCGTATTCCTGTGGCTTGTAAGTGCATTCTTTCATATTTTCAGCTTCTTTTGAGTTTGCCTTTGCCGCCATTTTGTTTGTTTTTCACCAGTCTCAAGACCTCGTACCCAGATCCTCTCAGTCTTTATCTTGGCCGCCATTTTGAATAAATTTCCACTCTCCGTGGACAAATCAGTCACGTGATTTCTGCTGTGTGCCAGGGTCTTCTCTCCTGCCGCCGCCATATTGGAAAGCGAGAAGACCCTGGGGACGAGGTTGCGGCGCACGATTCCTTAGCGCGTATAGGAAAAAGCTCTCTGTTGAGAAATCTCGAGAGTCGTTGGTTCCTTGGTTAACGAATTTCTCGTTTCTCCAACGAAAAGCTTGCTTAAAGGCTAAGACCGATTTTTAGGGGGTTTTGTCTCGAGGATTAATTGCTGTTTTAGCTCAATTCTCAGGAGTTGACTTCATTACTAGTGCCTTGACCCATACACAAAATGTTTCTTCAGAGTTATGAAGAAATCAGTTCACCAAGGAGCACTAACCATAATATTTTTTGGTGAAATTTTCCAAGTCCATCCTTTCAATCTGTTATAACAGACGACAAGAAACAGTTTCAATGCAAAATATACTAGACTAGTCTTAAG